CTTTCATCCACATATGATCACTTCTGGCTCCAGTGGTGACTACATCCTCTTTGGTTCTGACGGCCTTTATACTGAGAAAAACCTGATTTTGAACAGTAAAAATTAATTAAAGTTTTTTCGTTTGTTCAAGGGGACAGAGGGGCGATTACTGAGCAAATATGATTATAGACAAGCTTTCTGAGGATTAATATAGTAACAGCTTATCCAGGAGCTCATGCTAATCCTTAAAGTGGCCACGTGCTTTAAAGATGAGTTACTCACCGTTAAGGTGAGTTAACGTTACTCACCGTTAAGGAGTAAAACATGTTTGTTGCGGTCTTGGTTAAATGCAAGCAGTTTTAATTACTTTGGCTTTAATCCCATTCATCGTGGTCACCACATGGTGGCAGTATCTACTCGCATTGCAAAATCGCTGCATGGCTGTACATGAGTGATCCACCATTAGGGATAACAATAATCAAGACACAATTTTCCAGGCGAATGAATGGAAATAATTTACGCAGGTAAACTGCTGTGATTTTAAGAGTGAAAGATGTAATCAAGCCACTCGAGCCGTTGAAATGGAATTTAACATAGCGTATTAATCATTAATCACTGTAAGAAAGTTGTAGAAATTATAAGCAGTTGCACTAAAGACCTTTTCTAAATTTAACTCACAATTGCATCTCATCTATCAGGTGAACCTAGACTCTTAACCACTGGACTAGGATTATCTATCTGTAGTTCAATGTAGCTCCACCCCCAGCTGCTCTCACAGCAAAGCTCTGTTGTTGTTATTGTTGTATCACTCAGGTATCACTCTACCTGCCACTGCAGGGAAGGAAGTCCTACGGTGACGTTTTGTTCTGGAGAGAAAAATATGAGGGATAATTAATGCCCTGCTGAAGCGCAATGAATGCAAAGGCAGTCAAATTTAAGTGCCAAACTTATAGAAGGAAATTAGTGCCATATTTTAAAAACTAAAAATAAAACAAAAGTTTTGCATATGATGACTTAATCTTAGTGAGATACTAAAAGCTGTATGCTTTCTTACTACTGCAGTATCTATGCAGTAATAAAGCTCCTTGAGTCTCTCAGTAGAGGAAGTATGATACTCAGACACTCGTTTTGCCTTCAAGGAAATGGTCTTTGTTATATGGTAATAAACACTTACTTTATTAGGTATTCATCTTGATTATGTCTAATTCTGGCCCTACCATCCAAATGTGTCATTAGAACTGAAAAAAGCTAAATAACACACATCTCTTGCTGTATAAGTAACATCCTAACACTTTCCTTTTTAAATAAACAGTGTCACTGTGGTATTACAAAATGCTGTTTCATCAGTCTGAAACGCACCAACTTCCTCAAAATGCCTTCTTTATCTCACAGCTGATCCAACATACAATAAAACTTACCGCTATTTGATGTCAGTGTTGCTAAGCTTTCAGCTGAACTGCAATGAGTAGAAATGATTATCTGGAATAACTGCCACTACGCCACTATGTGAGCTTTTATGGTTTCACATCAGTTGGAGGGTTTCATGATGTAAGGTTGTGCTAGTTATAGTGTTCTATCTGAAGTTGGTGTACTGGGTTTAACAGCTGCTGATAGATTTAATTTCCTTTTGTTTATGGATACACTGATTTTGTTTTTTTGGAGAAAGATATGACTCATGGTGCATATTTGCAGGACTCAGCTTGATAAAATAAATTTACTGTACTGCAAAGATGAGTCCAACTGTGGGGTGGACTAAACCATTTTACCATGTGTTTCCATCCATCCTTTTCCACTTATCTAGTTAACCTAACATACAACTCCACAGAGAAAAGGCCCAGCAGGCTGGTGGATTTCAAATCTGTATCTCTAAATATGGAAATGCAAAACTGCAAACAAAAACAGGCTTTGGAGGACTCCTGCCACTGTCTGTCCTTAGGTAGTCTCTCCCACTCACTCCACCCCACCTCAGCAACTAGGGCCCCCTGGTAAAAGCACTGAGTTACTCCCATCTGATTGGTTGATTAAATATTTACATTAATATGCTATGTTATATATGTTATACAAGTGCATGCTCTCTTACCACAGTTTTATCATATAGCTGGCATCATATGTGTCATATCATACATGCTTTTCCTTTACAAGACAAATTTTATTATCTGGTGCAAAAACAAAAACAAAATGCAATGAATGCTGTGAATAAGTGTGTGAGTGGGTAAAATGTTCCCCTCCCTCCAGCAACAGGGCGGCACGAATCGCCCTCCATACACTCAGAGCAGCGTGGTAGGCACAACAAGCTCAGCGGTGGCTCCGCTGCAGTCCCTCCCTGGCACAGAGGACCACACCGGAGAAATGAGCTCGTCCTCCGCCGTCTGCACTGCATTAACGTGAGTGCGTAACGGCTCTTTTTCACGGAAACACACGCGTATACAGAGGACCTGCACCGGTCTGCTGTTTCCAACCCCCCCAGCTTGGTGTCGGATAGTCCCACCGGCAGCTTGGACCATGGCGGAAAGAAGCGGCCGGCTGAGTTTCCCCGGGAGCGGGGCTCTCAACAGACCGGTTCCCATGAACCTGTTTGCAACGTGGGAGATAGACGGATCGTCCCCGAACTGCATCCCGAGGTAAAACGCGGCTGGCGCCGTATCTTGGTGTCCTTTTAAACTTTAAATGCGACGCTTGCACCGTGCCAGACGCGCAAGCTGTCAGTTGTCAGTTGGCTAACGTTACGCTTGCACCAGCTAGCTGTATCATCATGCCAAGTGGATGCCCATGCAGGCAGGCCCTGCACCGGGATCCTCCATCCATCTGCAGCACTGTTTGAATGTAAATATTGCAAAGGGAGGGTAAAATGTGCCTTGTTGGTAGGCTACAAAAACAAACACGTTCAGTGCAGGGTTACATCCCACCGTGAAGGTGTGTGTTCTGCAGAAGAATGAAAGGTAACCAGCCCCGTGCCAGATCACTGTGCCTCGCTTCATGCATCTTGGAGACCCAGTGGGTTCATTGGGTTCTTGTGAGCCCCCCCCCCCTTCATCCTCGAGGAGACTTAAATGCAGTGTGCATTCCAAGGTTGCCCCGATTTGGGTGCATTTCTATGATTTCTAGTGTTCCTCATCTCAGCACTGGTAACATTTCACCCATGATAGGAGAGCAGCTCACAGCAATTTTCACTCTCGATTGTCTTCTGCCAGAAAATATAGTTTAATACCTTCACAGACAATAATATCTCAAAGTCTCTGGAGGCTTTGGCATTGTTTTTAGTTTACTGCCTCATATCTCCCACAATGTAATTCATTCAGTAATTTCTGTAACTTCTCTTTAAATTTGTGTGTGCAGCTGCTGAAAAAGCATCAAGCAATTTTAATTTTCCTTTGTTGCGATATTTGTTTTTCAATACTCAAAACAAAAAAAGCTCTGTGTAGGTGTGTTTGGTTCCTTCAAACGTATGCCTTGCCCTCAGGTTGCAAACAGAACAGAGCAGTGTTTGTGTAGTTGTTCTCAGCTGGAGTGTCACTGTGGTTTTACTGGACTGCGCTCCTAAAACCCAACAATGTCTAATTATACGGTGATTTAAAAGGGAGAAAAAACCCCAGCAAATTTTCACTTTTCTGATGCTGGAGTTAAATACAGTAGCGTAAACGGTTCATTCATTATTCAAATGAACATGGGTATATAATTAAGGCTCCTCCTCTGAATATATTTGTCTGTTAGGCTTTTCCATATATAGTCATGGTAAAAAGAAAGTACAGGTTTAATGTCTAACATATCAGGACATAACAAAAATATTCTGGCCCTTAACAGGTCTTAATATTTGCTAAATACAACATCAGGTGAACAGAAACGCATGACCCATCATGCTTTTATTTATCAGCTTGACTCATGCACTTGAGTAACTGATCATCAGTAAACGTGAGCTCCTTTATAAAAGCTAAAGTTTTGGTGGTCTGGAGCATTCAGGTGTGGTTTAAAGGGTGAATTACATCACCATTGAACCAATCCTTCCTGTCCATCAATCTGGGTGGACAGACTGATGGACAGGAAGTTGTTTAAAAGGCCATTTCCAAACGATTTGAAGTCCATCATTCTACAATGAGAAAGATTATTCACAAGTGGAAAACAAGACGTTTGGA